GAAGAACTACTTTGTTTATTGTGTAATTTATGTAATATTTACTTCCTGAAATAATCTTCCAAAAATCCCCACAGTCTGTAAAGAAGATAATTTTTAATAGACATTTCTTGTTATTGTACGTCTGAATTAACTGATTTCGAATATTACGCATCCTTATTTTAATTTTCTTTTCTTTTGTCAACATTTTACTGATGTTGTCCAACTAGCGGGCTGCGTCAGGTTGCCAACAAGGTCATAGGATTCGATAAGTTCACAAATTAATGTTAAGTTATTACTTTTTAAATACTTATGAAGAGAAACAAAAAACGTGATTTTCAGTTGTTTTCATTACTTGTTCCTTATTGGATAACTGTTTTTCACAATTCCGTGATCCATTTTCAAGATTGTTTTATTATTATTTTACATAATTAATTGTTTGGTAAAGATGAAACTTACTTAGAAACGACACACAACACTGTAGAATTATTTCCACGCTTACTAAGTATTCTAAAGCGATTTTGTTTTTAAGCGATCCATGTATTCGTTTTAATTAAGGGAATAAGCGCGAATTCATTTTACTTACCACTTATAAACTTTTACTTACTTATAACAAACCCGAATAGGACATTAAATACGGAAAGTATGATTATAACGAAACGTCTCAGGTTTTCGTGTTGTTCAACGTTCAGGAACTATATGAACAGTGCCTCGAATTAGCCTACTTCAAAAGGCCTAGTAGTACGACGATACGGTAGTGAACTTTGTGTGATTTATTAACTTCCACAGATCTTGAAGAAGAACAATGAAGTATTCGAAAGCGCTCTAATTTTGGGTTTCGTTTGAAAACCATAACAACTTTTGTATGTGATCCTGTGAGCTAACTTCTTACTCAGAATTCATATATGATGACGATAGTCTTATGTATGTCTCACCACTCAATATATATAACAAGAACGTCCATCTACATTAGACAATAAAATATCGCTTTGATTAAGTTATTATAAGTGTATTGAAAAGGGTTTTTATATGTCAAATACGCGTGCGATAGTGCGATCAAGAGAAAAAGTGATGATTTGTGAACGGAACTGTTTGCTACTTTTTAACGACCAATTAAAAAAAATTATAATTTAGCACTAAATATTGTAGTGTAATATTAATAGACATGGTCCTGAAAAGAGGGTAGAGCATTAGTGTACATTTATGTACGCTAATCTCATAATATTAATATAGCATTCAACAGTTAACATCCAAAACAGTAAATGAGGAAGAGGTCTGGAAAGAACCTGACCCCCCCATATAATCACTCAACCAATCACGATACACATACACCCGTAGTGAACTCCTGGCTCTGGGACTTATATACTGGGTTACTAAAAGGCTTCATCTGAGGCTCTGCACTCATGTAGATTATAGCCACAGTTAGCACGCTAATACCACAATACATAAGAAGCTTATCTTATTGTAGAAATTTATAAAACAGACGCTAAAACTCACTTTCAAAGATACTTTGTAAAAAATTGAAATAAACAACAGAGTCGACCATTACAGCTACATGTTATGTTTATTGAAATTAACAAGTATTTTCCACCATTATTTGACTATTTGTTGTGATCTGCCCAACACGGGTATCGAAACCAGTTTTTTTAGCATTCTAAGCTTTCATACTTACAGCTGAACTACTAGGTAACATCGAAAAATACAAATAACAACAATATTTTCCAATGCTACCTACTCCATTTTTTTGATAAAAAAATTAAAATAAAAGAAGTTTAAATAATCCATTACCTTCATCTCCTTAATGATTTGGAAGTGGCTTTCTGATAGTTTTTCTTTCTCCAACATTCTTTTTTTTATATGAAAAATCAATTTTTTTCAAAGTAGAAATAAGAAGTAGTAGTTTAAAAAAAAGTCCACGTTTACAAGTATTGCCATTATAAATTAATAACTATGACGTCTTTCAAGACACCTTTTTGGAAGTTGGAAGAGAAAATTGGTATGTTTATTAGTTAACGAAAGATTACATATTTTACGACTTATTATTTTAAGCATGGGCTTCAAGACGACAACAAAACGACGCAGGGATCTGGTGGAGACGTCTTGCCCTTAGATGTATCAGTTATTAACGTGGTCGAAACCAATCTCTAAATTCTAATTTTTTTATGTCCCAGAACCAAGATGTTGTTGGAGTTACCCTCACAACTGGGTTTGACATTAGAGATGGAGCAGTTCTGGGTTCACAACTTAAAAAGATTTATGATTTTGCATTAGAAAAGGCCATCTTTACCAACAGTTTGAGAATTATAATTTATTTACTATAAAAATATATGCCAATAAAATGTTAAAAGTTGATGCTAGAGTTATGCTGTGCTGCATACATTACAATTATTTGTTACTTCAACAATCTATATACTTATTCAAATTAGTGTGATGGAATAAGAAATGCCTGCTGCCAGACTGAAATAAAATCAGGGATGTCATGACCATTAATGTAGTATATTCTCTTCAGTATAGTTCAATGCCGTGTAAAAAAATAAAAATAAATAAATATAAACTGAGATGTCAATAAACTTTTTTTTGATAAAGTTAAAGATTATTAAGATACAAAATTCGTGAAATTCCAAAGGTCTATGTCTCCCTTTTAATATATATATTTTAAATACTATCTGTAATCCCGAAGAGTAACAGCAAAATGTTTTAGTTCTTTACAAGTTTCATGTTTCAACTTACAACATTGATTGATTGGAGTGTTGTGTTTCAACTTATGACATTGCCTGGAGCGATATGTTTCAACTTACCACACTGATTGCTTGGAGTGTTGTGTTTCAACTTATGACATTGCCTGGAGCGATATGTTTCAACTTACCACACTGATTGCTTGGAGTGTTGTGTCTCAACTTATGACATTGCCTGGAGTGATATGTTTCAACTTACCACACTGATTGCTTGGAGTGTTGCGTTTCAACTTATGACATTGCCTGGAGCAATATGTTTCAACTTACCACACTGATTGCTTGGAGTGTTGTGTTTCAACTTATTACATTGCCTGGAGTGATATGTTTCAACTTACCATGCTGATTGCTTGGAGTGTTGCGTTTCAACTTATGACATTGCCTGGAGCAATATGTTTCAACTTACCACACTGATTGCTTGGAGTGTTGTGTTTCAACTTATGACATTGCCTGGAGTGATATGTTTCAACTTACGATGTTGATTGCTTGGAGTGTTGCATTTCAACTTATGACATTGCCTGGAGCAATATGTTTCAACTTACCACACTGATTGCTTGGAGTGTTGTGTTTCAACTTATGACATTGCCTGGAG